CCTGAAGGTAGGTGGGTCCCGACACCTGCAGCCGAGCACCTGCAGCTTGGATGCTATGCTGTTTGTGTCGCCTTCTGTCTGCCTCTCTCTCTATCGTCCCTCAGAGTTCACGGCCTCGTCTGGTGCCGCCAACTTGGCGTGCCGCAAGGCTAAGGTCATGGTCGGAGAGACAGAGTTCTCAGGTAAGCAATGATGACCAGACCGAAAATCAGACCGGGACATGTTTCTCTGTCTCTCTTGCGTCTCTCAGTCTACAACGCGTCGAGTGGCACCGTCACGATGGCCAATCTTGAGACGGACGCAGCTGGGGTCATGCCCGACGCTGCCGCCAAGATGATCTGCGTGTAGGCAGAGAAGCGACAGGAGCATCTGTTGGCAACCGGCTGACTGCAATTGTGTCTGTGTGTTGTGTATATGTCGTCAGGGCCTGGTCCAATCTGGTGATCTTTGCCATCACGGACATGACCACCACCATCCCTGCCAACGGCACCGCCAAGTAAGGACACACACGGACGAACGGACGGATAGATGGGGGGATCGACCTTGCCTGCCTGCCTGTGTTGTTGTGGTGCAGGTTCTGGTTTGAGGTGACCAACCCGACCCAGCACATCACGATGCCGCCGACCTTCGAGGCCTGGTCGTGCATGGGCAAGGGCAACAACACGTGCGGCGTCAGGTCGCTCGACGGCTACGTCGCCAGCAACTACTCTCTCGACTACGGCACCATCCCGGGATTCATCACCATCCCCAAGCTGCAAACCGTCCGATTCGACGGACCCGGCGGCCTGTAAGGAACCATTCAGTAGTGCAGGCAGGCACTCATGGGTTGTCATGTCTCTCTTCCTGCCTCTGTCCTCTGTGTGTGTGATTGTGTGTGTTCAGTGCTATTGAGGGCAAAGGCAACACGGACTTCTGGGCGTCGCTGATCATCGCACTGCCCAACACTGTGCAGCCTCCTCAGGCTGGCGACAAGATCCACCTCACCGCACCCATGGGCTTCACCGTCTGCTCCACCGCCAACGCCAAGATCCCCTCGGTGTCAACGGCCGGATCATTCGCCATCATGCCGTAAGCACTCACCCGGGAGACAACAGGAGACATGCAGATGAGTTGTGTGTATCTGTGTCTGCGCGTTCAGGGATGTGAAGCTGAATGGTGCCCAGACGATCTGCGCGAGCCCCACCCAGAACAAGATCGAGATGGTTGTCAACGGGACGAGCAGCTACCAGTTCAACATCACCATCATCGGCAGGAACCCCAATGCACTCATCGAAAACAACTTCTGGGAGGTGCGTATCCATCTACATGTGTGTCCCGACGTCCACGCAACACAAGGCAGCACGTGTGTGTGTTGTGTGTCCGTGTGTTTGTGTCATCAGGTTGTGTATCTGCGTGCCATTGGCGGCAACCAGTACTCTCAGAAGATCGAGGGATGGACCATCCAGCCCATGGTATCAATAGGGACACTCAAGAATTGTCAGCCAGCTCACGCCCTCCCCTGCTGCATATGTGTGTGTCTCAGCTGACGTCTCCGTCTGTGTCGCTGGCCCCTCAAGGCACCGAGGGCACCTCGCGTGTGGCAGGACAGGCGAACGCACAGGTCACCGTGGCATTCACGCCCGTCCAGGTACGATCTGCTAGGAAGTGTATGCCACGCCATCTTACCTTTGAATGGGTGCGCTCTTCTCCTCTCCCCTTGCTGATCGATCAGAATTTCGACACTATTGAGGTCAAGACGACGAACGCCTTTGTGTTCAGCAGTGTGGCGGCTGGCAGTGGCACCGCCGTGGCTGCGTCTGACGGCGTGACTGTGTCGAGTCTGACCGGCATGGGCGGCACCCCATTCACTCTGGTCCTCTCGGGCATCACCAGCCCCGCCACCGCATCACCTACAGGCACATCGTGGGCCATCAACACCATGCTGGGATCGTCTCCACGTGACTTCTCCGCCGCGGCCGACTACGGCGCCTTGTCGTCGGTCTTTGGTGCCATTTCGGGTGTCAAATTCTATGCAATGGACGACACTGGTGCATCCACGGTGAGACAAAGAGACAGACTGGACCGACTGCTTGGGAAGTCGTCTTTCGTGTGTGTCTGCAGAGCCACATGTTGAATTCCAAGATCAAGGTGACGTTTGACTTCAACACCCCCGCGGCACCCGCATCCAACGGCTTCTTTGTCATCAAGGCGCCCACTGGTACACATGTCGTGCGCACTGCTCGGCTCGACTGTGTGAAGATGGTGCGTGTGATGCATCACCTTTTCTTATTGTGTGTGTGCAGGCTACAGCGTGACGATGGTGATGGCCCCCGCTGATTCGTCCTTCCCCGTGGCTGCCGGCGGTTCGGCCACCGTTGCCGTGGGCAACTTCATGGCGGTGGCCCTCACCGGCGCCATCCCCACGGGCACCACACACAAGGTCACCATCGAGGTTCAGACACCTGCCACACCCACCACGCCCACCGACCCCACATGGTATGCTCACACGCACACAGACTCTGTGTGTGGAAGGACCTATGCATGTGTGTATGTGTATGTGTATGTGTGTCTCAGGTACATGATGATTGCCGAGACAGCGACCCTGACAACGGAGCAGGTAGTGGGCTTCGGCACCGCCCACCGTGTGCACGCCTACGCCACCTACCCCTACACCTCCTTCGTTGCCGACGTTGGCGCACCAGTGGGCGGCCTGACGCCGGCCCTCACAACCCCTCTCCCCACGGCGGCCGTCGGGGCACAGGGCGTCCCATGGGAGTGGACCATCACACCCGGCCTCGCCGCTGGTCAGTGACGGAGAAAGCCAGCGCCTTTGTTCTGATGTGGAAGCGGCTGGGTGCGTGTGTGTGTGTGTGTGTGTGGTTTCTCTCGTGTTGCAGATGCGACGGTCACTGGTGGCATCAAGATGAAATTCATGCCCCAGAGTGGCGGCTGGAGCTTCCCCCCGACCAACTGCGCCGGAGCCGGCAATGACATCTTCATGTCATGCACAGGCGGCAACTCGGCCACGCTCACCGAAACGACCACCAGCCTTGTGGTACGCATGCCACGCCCCGTCTCTTCCTCCACTGCTGTCTGGTGTGGTCTGGTCTGGTGTGTGTTTTCAGGTCGGCACTGCGGTCACATTCAGGGTCTTGACCAACCACCCGACGAGCGTGCCTGCCAACGCCACTGAGTGGACTATCGAGATCATGGAGGGCACACAGACTGTCATGTCCGGCAGCGTCCCGGCTGGACCACAGCCCGTCAGAATGCCCGCCACGGTATGACGAGAAGGAAGCTCAGGAAGACTTGAAGCACCAAATGAATGATACGCACATTTCTCCCTCTCCCTCTCCCTCTCTGTCGGTGTGTGTGCAGGTTGCGTATGCGCCCAAGGCGAGTGCGGCAGTGAAGGTGTCGTTCACCTTCACAAACTCGATGGCAGTGACGGGCGGCAGGATCGAGTTCACTGGGCCCACCGGCTTCAGCTTCTCCACATCCACCGCCGCCCACCTCGACATGGCCGCCCTGGGACCTGACGCCACATTCGCCGTACGCAACACATGAGACACACCTGCCACACACCTGATGCCACACACACACACACATACACACACGTGTGCCGGTGTGTCTCACTCACTTCAGTCCACAACGAATATCGGCAGCATCTCCAACGTGACGCTGATGGCCGGCAGCGAGAAGCGCTTCTCTCTGACGATGACCACCGCGGCGTCAGCGAGCAACGCCATGTTCTGGCTGGTTATCAAGGATGCCTCTGGCATGGTTGTCGACGCCAACTACGAGATCGCGGGGGCCGATGTGTCGTCGAGTTCCGTCTTCGACTCCCTCGGAGACATCAAACTCAGGTGGACGGACAGACAGGCTGACGGGCTGACGGAGAAAACACGCATAGCACATGTGCTTGTCCGTATGTGTCCGTGGATGCAGCGCCCTGACGCCTAGCGCGGTCGTCCAGCTCAACATCCCAGTCACCGTCACGTCCCTCACGGCCACCAGCGGTTCGCTCAAGCACTCCTTCAGTGACACCACTGACAACCACCAGCTGCTCTGTGAGTGCTGATCAGGTGATGTGCTGACAGTGAGCTTGATGGGATCGCCGTCTATCCTGAGCTTCTCGACGAGCAACACGCTCATGTGCGGCGGGAAAATGAATCCGAATGCCCTCAACAGCACCATGTGCACGGCGACGGAGGGCATGTGGCACATCCAGGACGGCACCGCGTACACGGCCAAGAAGACCCTCACATTCTCGATGGACGTCCTCAACCCGACCAACCTCACCGGCGTCCAGCCCATCGAGGTCAGGCCCGACAGACAGACAGACGAGTGATGTCATGGAACGAAACAGAAAATACACTTGTGTCTCGTCCTTTTTGTTGCAGATTGAGTGGACAGGCGTCAACAACTTCGGCCCGCTCACGGTTGACCTGGACCTGGACACCGTCACCACGGGGGGGAAGAAGAGCGGCGCCGTGGCCACCGCCGGGCAGCCTCTCTATGCCACAATCCTCGTCACCCTCCTCGCCATCGCACTCGGCCGATTCTTCTAGCCGACCGACTCGCTCACTCGCTAATGCACTCCACGTCATAACACTACATTTTTCTGTGTGTGTCCCATTTTGTTGTTTATTGCATGGATGTGGCTGCTTCGGAGCGCCCGTCCATCTCTGTGTGTGTGAGTGTGTGTGTGTGTGTGTGTACAAAGGTGCATGCTGTTGTCTGTCTGTCTCTTTATTGAATGGCGGCCCGAGAGCCAGCCATGAATGCCGTGTGTCTGTGTGTACTGTCGTGTCTGTGTCAATGGAGGCGCGCGGCCTTCTTGCCTGAGAGCAAAGGTCAGCCTTGGGTGCGGTGCGTGTGTGTGGATGAATGAATGCATGAATCAATGCACAGACAAGTGCATGCTGAAGTGGCGTTCCCGCATTCATACGGGTGAACTTAATTGCAAGTCTGCATGACCATCAAGAGAGAGTGTAATGGACCACAATGATTCGATGGTATGTCAATACTTCCCAACAGCCAGCCTATCTGACACCTGTCCTCGTGTTATCGTCCATCACGAAGATTGCCAGAAAATGGTTAGGCCTTTGCCCACCCTTCCTGCCCCCTAACACACCAGCAAGCACAGAGCCCACGCCCCTCTTCCTTCGCAACACACGCACATAGGGAAACGTCGCATCCACAAACGCGACCCGCAGCGGGCGGTGCCGCGTGTTGTTGACGCCAGGCCCGAAGCAGCCCACACAGAACAGATCCCAGTCGGGCGAACAACGCGCTCCTCCATCATGTATCTGCTGCCCTTTCCCCCTGACCGTCCGTGCCTCATACACCAGAATGGGGCGGCCGAGAAGATTCGCGATAGCTACGATCTCGGGTCCACCACCCCATGTGAAGTGCCGCCGCATATCGTCACAGTACACATCGCATGTCGTATTGTGGTAGGACGCAGCCGCAGCCAGCAACTCGCTGTTGGTCACCCAAAGGTCGCGACTTGCGTCGACGCACAGGAGGAGTTCGTTAGCAGCAGACTTGTGGTGCCGCCTCAAGTGACCCGTGTGATGGATGTGGCGCAGCAGGAGAGGATGAGAGAGGGAAGGGGAACCGAAAGCAGCACGGGATGCGTTCCCATCAAACAAGAGCACGTCCACTGCAGCCTGACCGATGTGCATACAAGACGAGTCCAGCGGCGTGCTGTGTTTCCGCACATATCGGTGCCGATGTACCTGTCTGAGGGCTGCCGCGAGCGAGCGGAAATCCTCACTGTTGACATCAGGATGCTGCCCCTCTTCCTCATACCACAGAGCGCTTGCAAGAGAGTAAAACAGACATCCACCATCACCTGCCATCTGTGGCAAGACAAGAGAGAGAACACGTGCATGCCTCGGCGGTGGCCACAACCAAGCATTCATTGATCTCCTCTTAATTACCTGCCGCAGACGAGCCCACTGACATGTCCGCCGCCTTGGATGTAACGAATGCACGCGTCCAGTCACCACCCGATAGATCTCAGGCAGGAAGTCGCCAGGGCCACACAGTCGTGCATCAACTGGCGCTTCGACAGCCCTTCCTTCGCCGCCGTGGAGCCGCTGCCACCTCCTGGACCTCAGACTCGCTGGTGAAGCGCTGGACACGTGGTGCAGCAAGCAGGCAAGTACAAGCACAGCCGATACTATGAACATAGATCTGACGCATCCGAGGATAGACGGAAGTCACTCATCAACTCCACGCAGTTCATCAGCTTTATTCACATACGAGACGTCTGCCCGCCGCAACCTCAGAAGTGGGTTAGAGAGTCCCCTTGTCGCAAAATGGACGACATTCGCAGTAGATAGATAGAGGTTAGAAAGACAGCTCCTGATCACCCGACTGATGGGAAACGCGCAGAGCAGGAGCGCCGACAGGGCTTGGCCTTCGTTCCGTGGCCAGTGCCTGGATTTCATTCATCGCGAAGACCAGCGCGATGCCCTGTACAGCATGGCGGACCTCGGCAGCATTCGCTTAGCGGGTCTCTTCCTCGTCGACAGCCCGCCTGGCCTCCTCAACGAGCGGCTCACCCGAGCGCTGCGGGCCAAGCACCTCGACGACGGCACACGGCTGGACTCTGTCGTGTCATTCGGTGACCCCCACGACGGTCTGGAAGGCGCCGAGGCGCTCAAGGCCATGTGGCTGGTCGAGCACCAGCGGTGGGACGAGGCGGCAGACGCCCTGCGACTCGCCAGCCAGTGCGCGTTCTGCCAGCTGCCGGCCATCATCACTCGCGAGGACCTCCAGAGGCATCGCACCAAGCAAGTATGTCATCTGGTGGTGCAATGCACCATCGAGGGAGGCAGGGAGGGAGGCAGGGAGGGCGGGAGGCATTTGTTTGATCTGTTATTGCGTCCACAGGCTTTTCTAGCTGAGCCCCGTGTGGTGGCGCTGTGGAAGATGGTGGGCAGGCGTGTCGACTTTGGCGAGCTGGGCCGGTTCGAGCTCTTCGACGACGCCAGCTGCGGCCTGCGTGCCATCAAGGACGAGGAGGCCTTCCAGATCCGCCTGGCCCCGCCCCTCCCCGTCGACCACCGGTTCCAGCAGCACACCGACCCGCACAACCCCATCGTGGCCCACCGCATCAACGTCTTCCTCCAGGCTCAAGACCACGTTCTGGACGAAGACGTGATCGAGGCGTCATTCTCGTCCTACCTCATGCACACCATCACGACCCGAATCAAGGGCGCCTCTGGGTCACGCGAATCAGAACCGTCAGTGGGCGGGTGTGGGTAAAGGATGGAGCTGCAAATGATGCCTGCCTTGGTCATGGGTGCTTTGTCCTGATTGTCTGGGTGGCTGACTGCAGCGATATGATAGATGCTGGCGTGATGGCCCGGCTCGACCGGTCAGTGCACCGTCCGTTTGTCAGAGGCGCCTCGGCCGTCATGG